TAGTGTTGGTAATATTTACTGGATCTTTGGGGAGGAGGGTTGGGGGAATAGTTAGATTTGAAACTTGTAACTTCTGAGATGGCAAAAGAGGTCGTGACTATTTTGTAGCTATAGTGGGCTTGACCCTTGGACAAAGCAAAATGGAAATGTAGGATGCCACAAATAATTGCCACAATTCAGCTAAGTTAAGTGAGCATGATGCATATCCTCAGTGTTACATAATATGTTGGGTCCCCTTCATGTTTATGAATGGACAAAGCAAAGATGTTGAGGTGGACAAGGAATATTATTAGCCAAACGAATGCATACAAAGAGACGAATGAGAGGGTCAGAGTAATTCAGAGCAAAAAGGATGGCGGAAAGTGGATCGCGTGAAAAGCAATGACAATTAGAAAGAGACCTGGGCAATGTAATTATTGTTGAGATAGGGTAATGGCAGTCAAAAAGATGAAGGAATGTGGTTACAAAATAGCTTAATTTTTCTCAGTAAGCACAAGTAGTCTTCTTGACAATAAACTTATTGTATTATGAAAACTAAACAAGGAGAACTAAGGAATTTCAATCTGGAATGAGAAAATGATTCTTCTTACAGTTCAACCTACATAGGATCTAATGAGTGCTTCTCATAAAGAAATTCGACAAGCTGTAGGCAAGAAGGTACATTTTTCTTCTAATTTTTATGCTTCAAAATTAAACCTCCTTTACTTCATTCTTCCTCTTTTTCCATATTTTGTGTTCGGGTCAAGTCATATTGGCCACATGTATAATGCTTATTTCAACCATAGTTGCTATGTAAGATTCATTAGTGAATATTACTGGCTGTATATATCAGATAGAAATTTTTACATCAGACCATAAGGTGAACATTGTGACCTTATGTTGCCATTGCAAAATCTGCTGCAGGTGCCAGGAAAATCTGCACAGGACTGTTTCGATAAAATCCATTCTGATCATTTGACCGCACTTCAACCTCGTTCAAGGACAAAAAAAACAAAGTCATCATCCCTCTCTCCCTCTGCAAGTAAATTGCTTGATTGTACAGAGTATAAGATTAAAAAGGCGAGGTACAGTAAGTGGAAAATTCATCTTGCACAGAAAACAGTGAGAGAACTACTACAAAAGCAGTGTCAGTCGAACCAAGATTATGAAGCAGACCTCTTCTCTGTTCTTGAGCCCACAATAAATCCATCTGTTGGAGTTTTTCAGCAGGGTATAGCACTTTGCACCCCAGAACGTGACCTACAGAAACCTGGACTTAAACGATGCCAAGGGAGATCTTCTTCAGCCCATAAGAAGCACCTCTCAAGGTTCAGTGGGTCAAGTGGAGCCACTCTTGTCAGTCCCCCAATTTTGAAGCAGATTAAGAACAAGGCCTTGCATGAGAAGTATATTGACCTTTTACATTGCAGGGAAGCTAAAAGAAAAGCTGCAGTTGCAAGGGCAGCAAAATCTCAAGGACAAGAAAATAGAAATGAAAGTCATGTTCAGAAAATGGATGCAACTAAAGCTGCAAAAAATGCTCTTGTTTTTGATGCTACAGATGCGATTAATCAATTCCGACATTTGCAGGCCAACACCATTAGCAACTTCCTTGACTCTGATCACGATGAGATTGATGATGATGAGGATGAAGGTGAGGACTAACCTTCATAAAATGTAGGACTATATGTTCAGAATTAGCTGTGCATTATTCTACTAGAATTGCATCTGTAGATGCCGACTATGGGTCCTGTAGTCCAGTAATGACGTACTTTTAAGAATACTGACTCTGTAAAATCCTACTTTCTGTGCAGTGTGAATATAAATCTGAGCCTGCTTTTGGCAGTATTATTCTTGTCTAACTAGGAGCTGTGGCACATGTGATGTGTGTCACGCGTGCACTAGATAATTATATTACAAAAGTCAAATGATTAGAATGCACTAGTATGAGGGAGAGATTAGAGAGAGAGGTGGGACGGGAAATGGACAGAGAGGGGAATCAGGGGAGTGAGAGGGATCAGGACGTTTCATTGTGATTGACTGTTAGATAGCTTAGGTTGCTTGAATTTGTATTTTACCCCTTCGTTCCATAGAGTCTGGCAAGATAATGGTTTTATCTTTCGCAATTACCTTTATGTTCAGGGAAAATGATGACTTTTTTAGACAGATCGAGGTAGAGACAAACCCTGTCTCTTTATTGATAGATGGCAATAGATGTGGGGGCTGCTAAGTTGTTATTTTTAGTGCTTTGTTTAAGCATGTTAATGGTGGTTGATCCAATGAGACTAGGGATGGCTTAGTAGAAAGGGATCCATCCAACCCGATCGGTGGTGCGGGTTCGAGTCTCTCCTCCCACCCCTAAGTGTCTACTCCTTAACAAAAAAAGGAGAAACAAAAAAATTAAATTTGGTTAATCCCTGCTTAGGAACTTGAAATTGGCACTTGCATGATCAACATTGAACTGGGAATGCAATGTAGCTTAATTTGGAGATGCTAAATTCTACCAAGTTATTTATGCCTTATGAGATTTATTATGGGCTTGGAGATGCATATGCAACTGTACAACGTGGGGGAAAACTGGAAAGGAACAAAAAGAAAGGGCGAGAAAGAAAGGAAGATCTGCAGTGCCAATCCAAAAACATAGTTTATCTCAATATGTTAGCCTTTGTTGCTGTGTTTCCTGTTCTGGCTTAGTCAATTCCTTATGCTATGTTCATAAAAGATCTTATAGTACATTTATAGAAGATTTGAGAAAAGAAGTCACTATCTTCAGAGTAATCAAAATATGATAAAATCCGACACCCACGGTCCCATTCTGAATGCTGGCATGGGTTCACGTCTATTATAGGCCTGAAGAATCACAAGACTTGGTTAAGCATACAAACAAAGGTATGTTTAGCTGAAAGAAATTGCTGGAAGTGAGAAAAGAAAAGACTTTAAACCCCTTTAATAATCTAATGCATTTACTATATATCTAGTAAGAAACTGGGGAGACCTTTGGGGATCCATCTGGAAGAGAGCACTTCTCTAACCTTTGGCTTCATAGCCTTCATCTAGAGCACAATTAAGGGAAATTAAAGATCCTGTCTTCCCAGATATTAATGTTTATTTCACATATGTATTAGGTATAAATATGAGAACTGAGTTTCGAGCTATTATTGTTTCTTTCAAGCTGAGGGTGGTTTTTCAGGAGCTTGAGGAGGACGATGCATTCTGTTCAGGCCATTTACTTTGTTCTTTCTTTCATTTTCTATCATTTGCAAATTTTCATAAAACACAAGGAAATTGTCTAGTCATTAGTGGTGAGATAACTATGATGCTGGAAGGTAAGTCAAGCATACATATGCATAACTTTTCGGCAACAAGAAGCTTGTTCTAAAAACTATTAGAGGCACTAAAAGATGCTGTCAAGTTCCAAGTCCTAATGCTTCTATGGATGTAATGTGATCTCTCCAACTGTCTCTACGTATATTCGTCTTGTATTGTAGTTTGGGGGCATCTCAAAATATATATGCTGTGTCAATAATGCACTAGCACTGTCGAATAACAAACAGTCAAAGTTATTGAAATATTGTGTTGACAACAGTAAGGCTCAATCCAAACATGAACGAATATTTTCTTACTGGTGTAAAGGTGAAATAATAGAGGTCATGCATTGTTGAGGTTTTGACTACTCAAAGATAGCTCAAGGAAACCAAGAGGTGGGATAGAAAGGCTCCAGTGTTTACTATATGAGTTTGAAAGTTTTACCCTTGCAAAAGAGCTCTATTTTATCTGATGTATATGGTTTGTGGATGATTGCATGCAGCTGGAGCTTGCATTGGGTCACAAGTCGAAAGGATGCGTGACTTAAATTGTTTATGTTATCCCTAAAAAAGAGATAGCTCAAGAAATGAAACATCGATTGGCATTGCATTCCTTTGAACGAAGTGTGCTAGGCTATTGCCTTATCAGAAACACTAGCACTAAATAAATTGTAATCCGTCCATTCTCTTGAGTGTCTATTGTTACATTTATAATGATTTTGTTTACAATCAAGTTGGAATCTAAAACTTCCGAAATTAGGTTCAATATATGAGAAATTTGATGAAAATAGTTGGATGTTTTTTAGAGCTTAAATGAAAAAGGATGCCAAAGATTTGAATTAATGTTATTGTTTCCTTTGATAATGTCCAACAAGCTTTCTCTTAGATTTGCATTTGGAGGCTATCCCCACTAATCTATAATAATCTATAATCTATAATATAATATAGGATATGCTTTAATAAGTTTATTCGACGGTCTGAAATAGATTTATCCAATGGCTACAAAAATCTCTCTCAAAACCATTTGCATTGAAATTTTCTCACCCTCAAGTCCATCACTTTTTATTTACGTTACATCGTGTTTTTAGGTACGGGTTACCCTTTGTATCTTATAGAGATGTGTATAATCTTGTACACCGACACTACTACTTTAGGAAAAAAATAAAGAGAGTAATTCAAAAATTAAAAAGGGACGGATATGACAGCTAAAAACCGAAAGATTATAATATTCTGGTTTTTGGCAAACTTAAATTGAGTGGGAAAAATTATTAAAACCCTTAAATTTGAGGTTTGTGGAGGGATTAGAGATATTTTTTGAACATCCTTAGATGGGCTAAAATTAGTGTGGTTATTGAAGAAAATGGATTTATTCCTCGTTCACAAAAAAAAAATAGAAAACATTTTTTTTATGATCGGTAGGTACCGAAAACATTACTAGCTAATATTAAATTGTAAATAAGATCTTCCATATCAATAGTTTGTCTGTCTATAATATATTTATAAATGAAATTATTGACCTTTCAAATACTAAACCTTATCTAGAGCATTTGATATATGATTAAGTTATGGCATTGATGTAATGAATAAAGAAAACTATGAAGATAATAATATTATTATTATTATTACTCATAACAAGGGAAAAATTCTTTGAAGAACAGACATAACCATCTTTTTGGCTATTAAAAATGTCCAGCTTTTATTTTGCATCAATGTCTTCTACAAACATCTTCCTCCATAACCTGCATTTCTGAAGAGTGCTTGCTTTATCTCTTCAGAATTCATCAGTGTTTGATGCTCCAGTGGCTACAATCATCAGAAGGAAGAACAAAAGAGAAACAAACAGTACTTTAGAAACTTTAAACCATGCATGTCTAAGTAACTTGTATGTAGAGCAACAAACCATATGAGTCCTTTATACCTCAGCACATGAAGCTTGCAATGCAAAATCATTGAAACAACTTATAACACATTGCTGAATGTCAAGGCCCAGTGCTTCTAGTGCGTTCAACGTTGATAGCAACAATCCCGGCTTCGCGGCACAGCAAATGTCAATCCTGGTACTTTCCTTTTTTCTTTCTATGTCGAACTGAATAAATAATTTACTCAACTCAGCTTAACTCGACAAGAGATTATCTCAATTATTTTGGGTGGGCTACAATTGACGAATAATGCCGGAAATTAACTAAATTTGAGTCATTCGATATTGAGTGATTGATCGATTTTAATTTAAATTTGGGTACATAAAGTAAAAAAACTATACCTTTGGGGGATTTCTCACTCGCATTTCATTTGGCTTTAGCTTCTTCAAGTTTCTCATCAAGTCCATTTGATCTATGCCTGCTTTCATGTCATCTTCTTTCAACTTGTGGATTTTTTCTAAGAGCTCTTTCATATAGTCTATGGTATCCCCAAGTATAGATGTTCTGTCCATCTGCTCATTCATGAAACTCTCCCATTAAAAACAACAAACAAAAAACAAAAACATTATAATAACTGATATTTGAATATATATATATATATATATCAAAGAAAAATATGACCTTGCTTATCTTAGGAACAATTGATCTAAGCATTGAGAGGCGGTCATTTAGTCGCTTTCTTCTCCTTCTTTCTGCCATTAGATTCTTTGAGGGATGCCCCTCAACCTTCTTAGCTTTGCTCTTTCTCTCCCCACACATTCTCAGACTTAGAGGTGAGATATTAGTAGTAGGTTTTTCCATCTCAACTCTTCTTGCTTCCGGACTTTGAAAAAGTTCTCCATCCTCCACCATTGATGGATATTCTTCTTGAATGAGGATTGGGGGTGTTTCATTCTTGTCATATGATGAACTAATCTCTGGCACTGGGAAACCATGAATAAACGGGTACAGATCATTGAAAGGACAAGCAAAGGTAGGTTCTGTTGGTGAGATGAGTTCTAAAAAAGAAGGGTCTAATGCAGACAAATCTGGGTTGTCAACATTAATAGATTCAAAGCTCCAGCCAGAAGAGAAGAACTCATTCACTCCAGCAGGAAATGCTGTCCAACTCTCTCTCCTTGGAGCTAGAATCTCCTCTAACAGACCATGTTGAGTAAGCTCCATCTCTGTGTGTGTGTGTGTGTGTGTGTGGAGCTTCAAAGGATGCTAATTTAAGGAGGAGGCTTAATTATATGATGCTGCACATAGTTAAAGGAATATACAGTAGTATATAATAATGTGTTTTGTCCTTAATAAACTCATCATAGTGTGCATTGAAATATGTTGTGTAATATGACCTAGAGCATTAGATTGAATTGGAATCTACTTTTTCCTCTTTCTGTCTCTCATTTCTTGTCTTTTTCACCAAAATTTTTAATCAGACAGACTGGATATTAAAACCCCATACCCGAAATGTTTGACCCACAAAATTGTTATAACCGAAAAATATTTGGTGTTTATAAGACATGAAGGGACAGTGTCATGTGGTAGTATTTACAACTAATAAATAATTATCAACCACTTGTTTATCATATATACAAATGTTGTTTGTAGTATTCCAAATATAGTAAAATATAGTTTATTGAGATTTTAGATTCAAAACATATAGTTTAAAACAAAACAGAAACAGTGTAGAACGAAACAATTACTGTAATATGTACGAAACAGTTACGGGTACGAAACAGCAACAGATACAAACAAAACAATTATATAATAAATTTGTGTTTAAACAATTTTAAACGTGACCCGTTTGTAGGATATGAACTGTTATTGAACTTTAAATAGGTCAAAGTTAGTGTTTGACATTATGTCCTTAAGACAAATTTTACCCCTACACACAGTGTTTATGAAAATCAAAGCGTCTGTCTCCTAAAATACAATAATTTTCACACAAGTAGAATTAGCACTCTAATTTACTCGTCTAGCGAATCAGAAATTATGTTGTATACTCTTCAAATGAAGAATGTTAATGATGTATGAGTCTGCCTTAAATGTCTATGAATGTTATTGACACAAAATAATTATGTGATTGAGTTATTTATAGAGAGAATAGTGTCTAATCCGGACAGTCACCATATAAAAGGATACAACCCAGCAGACATATGCAACTAGAAGACACCACTTGTGAAATTATTCTCTATGAACATATGTGACTCAGAATTTTGGTCTGGAAGTTGGCCTATATATGCTTATGTAGAACTGCTTATTCAACTAATGCGAGATTGATGTCAAATTTCACATTACATAACCTTTATTTTCATACTTTAAGAGGGTCACGTTATTCTCATTCATTGTTTCGAATAAATTTTCATGGGTTCGTGTTCTATTATGTGAGCCCACTTTAATTTAGGTTCAAAATCGATCGAAAATTCAATTTTTACGTTTAAAATTGTTTTGATCCAACACCAAATCCATTTTTCAAATAAATATTTGCCAACTTTCCAAACGAGAGTTTGTAATATTTTATGGTTACAGAGCGTGGCATGGCATCCAATAAGCAAAGAAAAATTTCACACCATCATAGACTATCAGATTCTTGGTTTTATGTTTTCTAAAAGATTTGATGAATAATAGTAGTGCCTCTCTCTCTCTCTCTCGCTCGCAGACACAAACATCCTGGGCTGTGTTGCTTACTGAGTTTGATTAATTCTCTTTAGTCCATTCTTCTTGTCATTACGCTTGAAGAACAAAGCTGAGGTTGTTTCTCATAGCAAAATTATTGGCTGGAGGATATATTTCTGCAGGAGAAAGAAAATAGAATCTTGTATGCAAAGGCTAATATGCTTTCTATCTCTCTCTCTCTAGAAAATACACTCAATGCAATGTTGATAACGTGTCTACAATATTCACATAATATCATCAATTAATAATAAAATATCAAATGAATAAGATAAATCTTATTTAGATAATTATTGATTAACATAAAAAAATATCGAATAGTTAGTTTTTTTAAAATTTATTTATTTTGATATTATTAAATAATGATACAAAGTCAATATTTTCATACGTGGTATCATTTCTTGTAATGAATATTTTTCTCTCTCTCTCTCACTGTCTCTCCCTCTCGCGGTTATATCAGGTTTTGCAATAAATCCAGAAGCTGCAGCCCACAATATTTATTTGTCTGCAAATTAAAACCGCTTTTGGTTGGCTTTATTATTGTTTGCTTTTTCAGTATGTGGGCAGGTGCCACATCGAATCATGATGGGTTGTATATATTTGTACGATGGATGTCTTGCTGATAAGAATAGTCCAGTCCTGTATCAGCATAGACCTATCCTGTCTGCATGAAGGACGACTACAATGCAATTTACATGCACATTGCATGCATGCTGTCCTTCCAGACGCTCCTTTCACACTGCTATCTACTCAACTCTCCAACCAAAATCACCCCCCAGCCCCCCCCCCCCCCCCCCCAAAAAAAAAAAAAAAGAAAGAAAGAAGGAAAACTAGTATCAAAGATCAGCTTGCACCCGCATATTTATTTCAACAAATTATTTATCATTTTGAAATTTATGCACAGTTTTAAACTTATCTATTACCATTATTTTCAAAAGATCATATTTTGAACAAACGTTTTAATGCAAAAACGTTTTTTCATCCTATTTTTGATTTGTTTGATTACACGGTTCAAAGTTACAGTGAAACAGATCAATTCTTATTAAATAATCTTATTAAATAAGAGAAGTAGTTAGAGTGGGCTGATAATAGTCCCCCTAATATGCTGATTCCATATAGGTTTGAGACAAAATTAATTTGTAAATAAATATCGGATCATAACAAAATGAATCAATCACACCCATTTAATTAATCAATCATTTTGAATGCTCACAAATTTGATTATATATGATGGGAAGTGAATCGACGTTTTCTATCACCAAGTTACATGTGGACGAATAAGGATCTAACTTAGAGTGTTCAATCCCCCCGAGAGGGCTAGACTGAGTCCATTCAAATTCCCTTGGTGCTTGTAGAACCCGTGGGAGGATGATCATCTAATATATGGGTCCACTAACTTGATACGTAATACCTTCTTCAATTATTGAAAAAGTCAGTTAAAAACATGATCTGTTGATGTAGATCGATTGGAAGGGTATCATTTAATGATCGGTGTGCATTACTTAAACATAACTCAATAAATGTCTAACAGGAATCATTGAATATTCAGACAATGCTTATTAAATGTTTAGTAACTCGATTAAGATAATTATTACGACGTTTAACCCCAAGTGAGTGATGATCTCTCCTAAGTTTAGTAATTGTGCGCCTTAAGGGTGTGAGTAACCACTGACAAGTCACCGTTATGGTTGTATGATCAATTGACTTTATGTGACCTTCTAAATTTTATGTTAACACCTCTCAAGATATAAATAATTTAAAGGGTTACAGTCTTAGGTACACATATACAACTCAGCTAGCACAAACTCATATTCTCTCATTTTAAATACCGATTAACTTAGACATCTAAGAAAATATGTCAAATACACATTCATCCCTTTCTAATCTCGTTCTTTGTTACAAAAATCTCATTTCAATTCAACTAAATGTTGATATTGAACAAAATTCACCCGTGGTAAACTTAAACACAACACTCCATGACCATGATAAAGATATGAATCATATGACAGTGCACAACTAATTTACATCCTAAGTTGAGAGCTAATTAAACACTGAACAACATTCTCTCCTGTTGCGCGTGGGCTTGCCACATTCTTCCTCACATTATTCAAATTGGTTGGTGTTGCACCAAAATGTTGGCATGAGAGAGAGAGAGAGAGAGTGTTCAGCATATACGTCAATTCGTCCTTGTCATTGTTGCTCTGATTAGAATTTGGTCGGACGACGTTGTCAAGTCTTTCGCGAGTCTTATCAGCGCGAGAAAATAGGGGGTCCGAAGGACATGGTTTCCTATTCCAATCAAATAATCTTATTTGTTTTTAAATTAATTTTTTTTTTTTTTTGTAATTTTTCCAATAATTGACAAGGTGATATGATGTTATTCCCAGACATTTTTTGTTAGTTTGCAAGTTGTTAATTAAGTGCAGCTCATTGATGATCAACACCATCAGCCACACAGAATTTAGATAAGGATTAGACTACGGTATAGAAAAAATAATAATTCAGTACTGTACCAATAAATTTTATTATTTTAATAAATATTTTTATAATTTTTATAAGTCTTTAAAAATAAAAAAAATTATTATTTTTGTAAATATTTTTACCATTGTTATAAATATTTTTATTATTGTTATAATAACTATTTTAATAACTTTTTTTCAATACAAAAAAAATTACCACTTTTATGAATAATTTACTACTTTTGTGAATATTTATAATTATTTTTTTAACTCCAATAGGTAAAAGCAAGCAATTAGAACACATTTCTCTCTCTATCTCTCAATAATCTAGAACAATCCTAATGTATTTTTGTACTCAGTGTTGAATTGTAAAAATTATTTGTATCAGATCAACCAAGACACTTTTATGACACTCAAACATGAAAATCAAATAGTAAGTGCAAACCTTCACCTTTATTGTCTACACTTCGATGACTAGGGTAATACAAGATTTTTTGAATATTGTTGTAGTTTATTTGAACGGTTTGCCAATATAATCGGCGAAAAAGAATGATTCAACAAAATATACCTTATTTGCATTAATATTTAAAAAATTTATGATTTTTGTAGTATTTTTATAAATATTTTTATCATTATTGTAATGACTATTTTTATCACAAAAAACTTATCATTTTTGTAAATGATGTACTATTTTTGTGAATATTTTTATCATTGTTATGGTAATTATTTTTATTATTTTTTTTTTTAACTATTTTTGCGAATAGGTAAAAGCAAGCAATTAGAACACATCTCTCTCTCTCTCTAACCTAGAACAACCCTAATGTATTTTTGTACTCACTGTTGAATTGTAAATTTAACTAGCACATAATCATCCATAAATTATTTGTATCAGATCAACCAAGACACTTTTATGACACTTAAACATGAAACTCAAGTAATAAGTGCAAACCTTCACCTTTAGGGT